TTTCGCGGACGCGTGTGGTCGGTGCGGTGGCGAACAATGTAATTTGACGAAGGTCCGAATATTTCTTAAGTTTGCCCGAGGGTTCATTAGTGTGGTGAAGCCTCATTAGATTGTTTCCTTCCATCACGTGTTTGAAAGCCCGTTTACTCCACAACACACGGTCGCGTGCTTTCGATTTCTTGGATGGGGAGGAATCACGGAAAAACGTTTTGATTTCTTGTCTGTCTCGAATCACATTCAAAGTGACGACTATTTGGTAACTGATACGTTGTTTCATTATAAGGATGTAGAACAGTGGACTGAGGACGACAGACGAGGTGTTTCATTGTAGGGAACACCAATGTTGCAGTCAAGTGAATGGGAAGGTTCGATAGCTACTTTTCTTGAGTTTGGTCGTGTTCGATTAGCTTTAAGATTGAGCCACTCACGCCGGTCTGTGCGTTGGCTATTCATCTTGGCTGCTTTTCCCCGAAAAAGCCTCTGGACCACACCGAAGGAGTTGGGCTGATTTCGTAATTACTTGATACCGGAAAATCTGCTCGCTGCATGCGATTAATGAGGGAAATTGTCTGCTTTCAAAAGGTTGGCGACGCGTCTCGCAAAGTTAGAAGCTGTCACGGCACTATGATTAGGGTGTGTATTTTCCGGTGTTTATTTGTGAGAAAAATCGGCGGATGTTTTTCGGTGTTTATTTATTTTCAAAACACCGGTGTATTTCGGTGGAACGTCTCACTACGAGGCTAAAATCGGTGATTATCGGTGGAAAAAAAATGCGATTGATCACAAACAGAGAGTTCCAATTTTATTCGCATATTTCATACACTTCTTCTCTAGGAAGCATCTAATTCTCACACTTGGTTATTATAGTAGATGCAAGCATACCTCGAGAGGCTTGCATCCGTCATGGCAGCACGTTCCTTGCGGTTCACAACCCACAATTATGAAAAGACACGCTCCTGTACGACACGGACGTTGGCAGTGTCTTCTAGGAACCTCAGCAACCTCTGAATACATGGTTTGCACCGACATCACTTGGCCAGACACAATGGGGAAAGGGCACGTGAGAGCCTACCCTCCACTGCGTTAATTTTTCCACAAAAGGGGCCCATGGGAGACACAATGGGGGAAAAGGCGTATGAGAGCTTAGCTTCCACTGCGTTCACTAAACGCTTTTGACCCCCAGAAAGGAGGGCGGACTGGCGCCACCTGCAAGCCATGTATAAACACTGGAAGAATGCAGGATCCACGAGATAACACGTTTGCCGAACCTCTACGGGGAAAGGGTTTCGCTAGGTCGGAATCATGCCACGACCGGTGTTTTTCGGTTTTAACCAGAACGAAAAAATCCAACCACCGGTGTTTTTCGGTTTTAACCGATTTTGTATTTTCGTCACCGACGGATGTTTATCGGTGTTTTTCGGTTAAAACCGGAAAATACACACCCTAATTATGATCTATCGCGCATCCAACAGATAAGTCGCATGGTCAAGGCATGCGAGTTAGCTGAAAATTACTCTCGGTGGAACAATTCTGTAGTCATCGCCGCTTTCCTTAGCTGATCAAAACTGATTAGAGTCTATTACCGTCTCTCCGGAGCCCATAGTTTCGGTTTTGAACGAAATCTCCGAAACGAAAGTTTGACATGAAAAAAAACAAAAAAACACCGGGAAAACAAAACTATGCTCTGCAACTTTATGTGCATCGGCTACACTTAACCGTCTGAGTTCAAATACCTATAAAATTGGGCATTAAACAAAAGAAAATCTGTTAAATTGAATGCGCCACCCGTTCAGGAGGTTTGACTGAGTCGACGCGACCTGGACCCAGCCGCCATGTTTGTTTGGTGGTGGCGCCCCCTATAGGTCGCTGGAGCCGCGAATAGTCCGTTACAACTCAAGAAGGTAGGGCGAGGGAAATGAAGGGCGGGCAAGAGGAAGCAGACGGAACGCTGGAAAAGAGAGGGGGAAACCTCCTTATCTCTTTAGCGTTCCATCTGCTTCCTCCTCCCCGGCCCGTCTTACCCTCGCCCTACCTTCTTGAGTTGCAGCGGACTTTAGAAGTGTCCAATATCGACTCATAAGCCTTCTCTGGTCGTAGGGCAATCATCCAGTAGCTACAAAACGCTGTTTAATTTCTTTTAAGTTTTTGTATTTGCCGTTCTTTTTTTTGTATAGCCCTAATGCCCTCAACGGGACCTTAGTGTGAAATACATTAACGAGTGGCTCTACATACTCGAAAGAAGCTTTCCTATACTCCGTTCAACTTCTTAAGTCCGCTCCGTCTGTGAGCATGTACTAATACGCTCTGTCCGTGTGCCTTCTGCCTGTGTGCAACTGCTCGTCCTTTGTCCGTCTGTCCTTAATTGCAAATCAAAAACAGCGCCGACACTACATCGTCAAGGTGCTCTTCACCTTTTTGCTTTCACCGTGTGCACCAAGTCGATGAAAAACTACTCCATCTGAAACTTTCGAAAGAATCATCATCATCATAATAATAATGCTATAATAATAATAGTAATATGAATAATGCAATAGAAATGATAATAATAATAAAATGGCTGGATTCAGTGGTGGCATAGCACGCCAATAGTTCGTTGCTACGACAGCTTTACAACAGGCGCGATGGTTCATAGCTACTTATTGTGCAGTGACAAAAGGAAGCAAAGTAAATGAATAAAATGCAGCAGTCCTTGTTCAAACAGTATTCGCGGTCAGACGCTCGCTAGGGGCGCTTCTGCTTTCCTTACTATAAAGCCCCTCTATCCTGGGAAATGTGGCGCCATTCGTTGTTGTGGAAATTGCTCGAGACACGTGCCGCGCGCCACTTCTGGGACAACATGGCGTCCGAAATCTAGCTCAATGCTGCGCTGTGCTGCCATGATCTTCCCAGGGGCTGCAGGTTGCACGTGCCTCATGCATCGACGCACCTTGCTCTGCTCTAAAAAAACGAAGGTGCTTTACCTCACTATGGGTAGTGCACGTGCTACCTACGCGATTATGTTTTGGTTTTCATAGTGCATACAAGCTTGGCATAGCACGTGCTTGCTCCGGCGCAGGAAGTAGAAGTATCCTCACTATGGGTTGTGAACAAATTCCGCCAGGTGGCGATACCCAAACTTCTCGCCGCGAATAATATATGACCTCGTTTACATGAAGAGGGAAGCATTTTCAAATAAACCGCACTTAATAAATTACTCATTTTACAGTTAATTGCTCATTATACACATCGTGTTTTTTGCTTGAAAGAATTGAAATCTAAATACGGTCAGACGAAACAATATATTTATTGACAAAAAGCATTTGTATGAGGGGTTGGGATCAAAACAAATCGATTTAAATCATTAAAGATTTGAAGTTTTAGATGTCTAAATCATACGTATTTCAAATCTCGGTTTCAAGTAATGACAAACTACTAGAACGCATTTCTATATAAGCAACAACGCAAGACGCTCGCAAAAAGACAAAAAACAAAACGAAAAAACTTTGACATTATTTTTATTTTACGAACGAGTGGTTATTTATGTGCTGATATCGCAAACGTACTTCTGCCAACAAGCCTGCTGTAAACACTTTATTTTAGAGGCCTCATATTTCACGAATTGGGCAGAGTGCGAATTTCAGTACTAATTCGGGAGTTACCATAGGCAAATACATTCCCGGAATCCAATTTTTGCTATATTTTGTATATAAATTCGTGAAATTCACGAAAACTAGGTCATTGCAAAAATTTATTTGTTTATAAATATTTGGAACCTACGCGCCAAAAGAAAAAAAACCAAAAAAACCTCGTTTATTAATATTATTATTATTATTTTTAGCGTGGGACGAATTTTACACGTTACACGTTTTCTGAAATTTTTGCTTGGCTTTCCGCGGAATGCTTTCCGCCACACTTAAAACTAAAGAGAACAAAATTGCGCGCACAGATTTAAAAGGAAAACAAATTTCACGAACCAGACAAGTATAGAAGTGCAAACTTCACACGCAGAAATTGTAACGCTCTTGGAAAAATCTAAACTTCTATTAAGAGCCGATAACCATCGTCGATAACAAATTAAGAGGCGCTTAGCATAACTCATCATGTTGGCACCTCTCGCTCCTTGATTCGATCGGTCTTGGGCGTCCTCATTGGCAGACACTTCGTAATAATGTTCCAGAAGATATTGTTTAAGTCATCTCTGCATGCCGAAATAATTGGACGCTAGCTTTTAGAATGAAGATAGCCGTGCCTTCTATGTGAACGTACTACTCCTTGTGCAGGTGTCTCTAAAGATGTCCTTAAGCCAACTTTTTCCCAGAACACAAAAGACATCCATTGACTTCGGTTTGCTGAAGAGACTCGGCGACGGAGGAGCTTCATAACAAAGATGCATGAAAATGAAATTTGTGATTATTTGACCCTCGGCATGACGTCAACACTAGATGCTTGCAGCTCAGTGTCCCGTTGCAGGCTTCCATTTTAGGGCTAAATATGCTTTCGTCGTCGTCATTCAGAAAGAGCGCTTCGTCTTTTCATTTTTGTGACTTGTTCATTTGTGTCTTGCGCTAGTTTTATTTTCTGGCGTGCGATCTTACACATGGAAGCAAGGAAAGTGAAGACAGAGTCGTCTTCCAGCGGTAGGTCGGTATATTTAGGACACGGTGCAGGTTCTTGTTAATTGATTGCAAGCCTTTGTTGCGGGTTAATTCGAGCTCTAAAATATCCATTATTTCTCTATTGTATGCGCCGGTAATGTATACAAACTCACTTGCAGGATATATTAATGATTTCAATTTAGTAACCCCATAAGACGCCTCAATCCACAGGGTTACAAATGTCTCTTTTTTTCGCGAGGAAAATTTTACGGATAATCTTTTAGTAAGATTACTCACTTTTCGTTAACTCAGGGGTGAAATGTCTCTAGTGCAAAACCAATTATTACGTGTCGTATGAGCTATATCTTTGTTTATTAGTTTACTCTTATTCCTTATACTTCAAAGATTGAAAGAAAAGGTACTTGCCAGGAGTTTCTGAGCTTTTCCCTCTTCGCTGTTTTCGGACGAGGCTGTTGTCTTGCGGTTGGCCATGTCCGCAGCGGTGGTTCACAATCACCTCAGTTCGTGGAAACACGAAAATTGCATAACAAATTTTAGTTGTTTCTTGATGGGCCAAGATGACTCAGCGATATGGCAGTTCCACTTTGTTAGGCTAAAGAGTTGAACATCTTCTTTAAATGGAGAAACACATGGACGTCCTATCAGTTGGTAAGTTCACAAAAAGCTCTCGCCCCTCGCAATGTTCCCAAACTCTTCAGCGATGAGCGTTGGGTCACACACGAACACACCTTGGATCATTGTACACTGCGCCTACTCACAAAGCAATCTCCAGAAAGCCGATTGGTTACAAACAACCCACTTTCGATTCCGGAGCTGTTTTCGAAGACGTCGATTCCGAAGCACAGTGAGTTTGGTGGTTGTGTGTTGCTTCGTAACAACTAGAGGGAGCTCCTTTTCTCAAGAATTGGAGGGACATTCACTAACTTGTTTACGGGCTCAGGAGGTCTTCTACGTCGAGTTGATGCTCCACAAAACTCCAGGATTGACATCGGTGACTGAACAATTCTGATGAACACCGGTAACTTCTTGCAGTGTTTCACGAAGATTTTATCTCCTGCTGAAAGCGTGCTGTCGTAGGAATAAAAAGCTACACTGAAAGAACCCATCCAAACCGCACCTGCGACTTAACCATACCATCCTCCCGATGTGATGACAAGTGGCGGGAATTCACCGTTAGAAATAGCAGACGATTTAGCATTCCAACAGTAGCAGACGACCTGGGCAAAGAAATCGTTTCAATTTCACCGGACGCCGTTGACGATGACGCACTTGTTTTCCAACGAAGTTGCAGATTACGCCGCTGATAAGGCGTTGTTATTTGGGCTCAAACCAACTTCAGAATCCCACGTTCCAACACACTCTGGAAGCAGTAGAGATGCCCGTTCGAAAAGAACCTGCCGGGGCCGAGCAGACTACAGCAACGACTAGTCCGCAATGTGACCGAGTGAAGGCGCCACCGTGGCCGGTGAAAAAAAGAAAAAAAAAAAGAAGAAAAAAAAAACAGCAATCGATTCACCACTCTGCTGGGTGGAGCCTTTTCTTCCCTATTCAGTGGCACCACGTGACCGCCAATGGACGTGATCGAGCGCGCGTCACGTGCCACGGTGAGAGCACACACGCACGCACATTAAAGAGAGCCCTAATATCGCCCGTGGCGGGGCGGAGCTTGTAACGGTCGATTTTTCATCCGTCGTCTGCGAGTTAGCCACACAGCGACAACTGGGGACCCCTCTTTTTGATTGGATTTTTTTTTATTATCGGTTCTGGCGTCTTAGAACCATGACTCGACACATAAACGACACACTTTAATGAATCACGTACTTTTTCTCTTATTTTTCCCCCTATAACTACCCGCCCACCTGTGTGGTCCATTTGGGTCTTCGTCATGGTGAAAGTTTCCTAGCAGACGGCTAGACGACGGTGACGTAATCCGACTTTGAGGGAGAAGGGTGAAAACTCGGGCGTGGTTAGTTTCTGCAGTGCGCAGCAGGTGACAAGGCCATGCAACGCAACTTGTTTAAGGGAACGTGACATGTTCCAGATCTGTCTGGAAATAATCTCTCGTGGAGGTCTCTGGTGAATTCCCTCAGTTGGCTTTATGTCATCCGGAGTTGGGGCGAGCTAAAACTAGAAGCCACGTGTCCACTCTGGGTAATGATGTGGCCCCTAGACCGACCCAGTTCAGATTCAGGTCGGTTGATTTTGTTGTCTCCGTGAGGAAGATTGAAGAGAAAGTCATAGGCGTTCGCCAGCCCTGCTTACGTAACTGATGAACACGTGTCGGTTGCAGAGGACATACGAGGTGTGTCATGTCTTGTGATACGGTGTATCTTCGCTTTCCAGCGACTGTAGGAGGTGCTTTGGTTCGAGCAAAGTGCCCCCTGTACACCTCTCTATCGCATGTTACCCAGGCAAAAATTGCAGATTCACCGAGCTGTGGACGCAAGAGTGGCCGGCGTCTTGTATTCACCAGAAGAGCGTTAGTGCGCAGGCGCCGAAGTGGACAAAGATGACCGCGCTAAGAAGGCGAACATTTAAGTTGTTCATAGCCCGTCATCTTCAAATGGCGAGAAAGATGTTGATGACTGCGAACCATATCAAATAATTCAGGCAAAGACGAATGGGACGAATGTTTATACGAGTTTTCTCACCTTTGAGGTTGGGCGACAGAGGCTCACTATGCAGATGAGCCATTTAGCCAGACCTACCGACGACCCCACCTACTATTAATGGTAGACTCTGATGTCGAGTAGCGTTTAATAAAGATATTTTTAATATTTCTTGAAAAGTTTTTAATCCTATTTCTGAGGGAAAGCGAAGGCACGATTACACTTATGACAATTTTTAGGCATTGGTTGTGATTACACAAGTGTTTCAGGCGCTCACTAATAGACAGCACTGTGGAAGGTGGGCATGGAGAGTCAATGAAAATTTTGGAACGGGTAAACTTTAATAAGGACGGAATGCAGGTCACACTACAATAGCCGAGCTTGTATTTCGATCATTTTTTTTTTCAGATTAAAACACTACCTATATGTGCTTCATACTCCATTAGAGTCAAGGTTAAAAATGAAAATCAAAATGATCTAAATTGTGATTTTAATCACACCAGGTTTACTGTAATTACTGTATTTTCCGGGCTCTAGTCCGCACCCGATGTATACTCCGCCAAGGCAAATTTGAGGTAAAAACTAAAGTTTTTGCTTAAATAGTCCGCACTTGGTGCGTAGTCCGCGCACCGGGCACAGTCTGCACCTGGTGCTTAGTCCAAATGAATATCTTCTCATGCACGGCGGCACACCTTGACAAAAGTCTACTTTCTTAACTCAAAGAGAAGGCTATACAATACATAAATCATCATTCACAAGTTTCGTCGCCTCTCGTCATAATGAACGATCTTGAAAAACAAATGCCCTGTGTAATCCGCCCGTGTAGATCCTCCGCACAGCCTAAAATTTCAACTTTTAAACATGCATAGTCCGCCGACTATAGCCCGGAAAATACGGTTATTTAAATCAAACCATTCCCGCAAAAAGTAATCCCCAAAATACTTTTTTTATTTACTGTTCGTATATCATTTCATGCTTTCTATGTTCACTTGTTTTGTATGTAAATGAAATAATCAAGCAATAAAGATTTAAAGCGGATCGTACGCTAACTCTACTAAGAAAATCATATCATAAAGCTTTTTTTTCAACGTTCCGCTTCGTTTTTCAGCTATATAATACATTACTGCAAGCAAATCAATATGTAAAATAAAAAAAGTAATGCCTATAAACACGAAAATCAAAACGCGAAAACAAAGCAAATGCCGGTGCTTAGCTAATTAAAAAAAAAACATAGCTGCTTTTGTTCTAGTGTGGAGAACTTAAATCAATAACAAGTTGTTATTCAAACTACTACTTAGAAGTTTAAATGAAGAAAACCTTTCTTCCGTATTATTTTCAGTGATCGAAGGGAATAATCAATCAATCGGTCACGCTTAAAAATGAATAGAGTGATATAAAATATTTTTTTTGTTATTTCTGGTTACAATGCTTCAAATCAAACAAATCTGATTAAAATTTAATATGCCCGATTTAAATCAAATAAATTTAATTTACTTGATATTAAAAGTCGTATTTTTTCACTCAGGTTAGAGTAAATTAGTAGTTTACTCGCAATTAATATAAGCGATTCGCTATCGGTGCGGTGTGCAAAAAAACCAAAATCGCATGGCCCGATTAAAAAAAAAATATCCGGATTCGTGCTTGACTGTGACTTTAATGCTTAAATTGCATGAATTATTTTGTTTTGAGTCACCGCTCTGGTCGAAAAGGTCACGATTCCAGTTTTAAAAGACAAACCTGAGCGAATATAAAAGCCTGATTAACAACTAGACAGAAACTGAAATGTGTGTTTTGTAGGACCATCATCGTCCAGGAAATAAAACAACGTGTTGTTAATTTTATCATACGATATCCTTATTCTTATTTTCTCAGAACACCGATCTCATAAATGACAAGAAGAAAGTGTCCAAGATCAAACTTTGCATCACCTTTATTCCTCAGTTTCGACATCGCGCTCAAAACAAAAAAAATGCCTATTGTTCCCAAGGAAAATCGCGACCTGTTTCTTTTATTTCAACGGGAAGCACTGCACAAAACCAAGTAAAATCGAAACAAGAATTGCTTCCTTAAACTACACTCCCCGCTCTCCTGAAAGAAGAAAAACAGAAGAGTTAAAAACCGGTCCAAAAGCCAAAGTGTCAAATTAAGAAGGAAGTCAATTGAGTCCATGGAAATTGACTACCTCCTTAACGGATCGCTGCCTCTTCCAGACGCCAGGTGCAAAAACACACCACCACGATAAAGAGAGATCTTCAACACCACACACGAGGAAGAGCAGCACCAACAAAAAGAAACCCAACACCGAAACATGAAGAACTCGTGAAAACATCGAGCACATTTGTGTACAAAAAAACATGTTTAAATAAGGGCACACGAGGCTGCCAAGAGGGTGACGAGAATTGGAGTTACTCCCAGTACAGCCTCCGGACATGTATGTACAAGAAACAAGTGCCATCACGTTTTGAAGACCTCTTCCTCCCCTTCTCTGGTTTCTTAGATGGAAGCAATGTTAAATTAATCTAATGACGCTTTGGATTACGAGTTTAATGAGTATGACTCGTCGACATTAATGGTGCCTAGAGGGCGTCTCTGATTGGTGTGTTACGCATCCTAGCTTGCCGATACATCAAAAGTGGTTTTGAAGTGGCACCCAATGACGTCACGGAAGCTGGCGTGTAATGTTGTCGGATGTCGCGATCCTGGTGGTTGGTGGGCAAAAAGCACGAGCAAACGTGAGTGTCGCCGTTGTCGCGGCGTCCCAACTTCTGGCTGTCGAAGCTTCCGTGGACTGTTACACTGGAGGGAGACCTGCAGCGGAACAGGCGTCTGCTACATCCACCATCGCTGTTGTGACACCGCCAGGATCGCGACCGGCGACATTGGGGCACTTCTATGACGTTGTCAGGGGGAACTTCGAGGAATCACTTTTTAGGAATCGGTACACACATGTCGGAGACGCGCTTTTCATGCACCATGGTGAGGATGGGTCCAGCTCCTAGCTTTTTAAACTGCCTTGAGCTGCTGCCTCTAGTCAGCATCGGTAATATAGTGCCTGGAGCCTCACATTGTGAAGTGGTGAGATGCTGGGATGAGTTGGATTTAAAACATGTAACATAAATAGGACCCCATAGGGTAAGGAACGACGGTAGACGTTATTGTGATTCATTAAAAAGAAGCTTGCGAAATGACTTCAAGTGCGCACAGAAAGAGACATTAAAAAGTAAATGTTTAAGTCTGGGCCAGTTTGACAAGTTTGGTTCTGATCAGGATTACTGAAATAGGTATAATGGCTGGTACTTGTTTTCCCACGCTATGACCACCCACAATTGTTTTAATGGTATCTGGTAACATCTGAAATGATTAAAGGTGTTTTTCTCTGGTGCTAAAGCACCGATCGGCTAGACAAGTTGCCGATGGTCGTTAAGGTACCGTAAGGAGAGGTTTAACAAAGGAACCTATGTATATTTTTGTGGGCTTTTCTGCGACAAAGTCAAATCAAAGCAAATTCATAAAAACAGGTGGTAGTCGTATAAATTACAGAAGTGGCAAGAGTGGAAGATAAAAATGCTCAACGGAACTTATGCGTGCTAACCTTTAAGAAACAAAAACAATCCGTATTCTAAAGACAGCCTTTTTTCAAATGACTGTCGATAACAGTGTTAAGAATGGCCTCATATAAAGTCACTGTGTGCACATTGAAATAATTACGCTGGTTTATGTCATTATTTATAAATTCGAAGTATGGTGCTGAATCTTTAAAATAAAGTGCTGCCGTTATGCTGCTCACATGTGAGAATTACTATTTTTTTAATCATAGAGACCGCAACAAACGAAGTACAAATTTGCAAACCGTAATGAGCCCAAACAGCGATACTTTCGACAGAAAGACAAATTATCAGTCCTATAACCTGCCATTATTTTATATCAGTGGCAAGCCATAGTCAAAGTTCACCGGGAATACAAACATGTTCCGCTTCTTTTCAACTAGTTCAGCAAACGTTTCGCTCAACCAATTGACTTTGGTAAGGAACGCAAATGCTTTACGCCGTGTCAAGCATAGACCCAAATGAGTTTTGCCTTCAACTCGACTTGGAGTTAGGACTGATTGTTGAAGCGAAGTTACCAGGCCCATGATCGGAACCTCTCCGCAAAACTTTCTTCGGACTGCATGTAAGATGAAGCAGCTGGAATGCTTACTAATAACCAGTATCCTCAAGCAAATGAGATGGTGCCCATGTGCTAGTTTTGGAGCATGCTGACCTCAGTACATTTTGAACACTTCACGAACGCGCACAGACACATTTACAAGAGACCCTTCGCCAACGATTGGCGCAGAAGCTTTTTCATACGGAGACCTCCAGTTTTAAGTGCCCTATCTTTTGACGGTATATGAATGATGGATAGACTCGTCATGCGACCATGGTGAAGTGACGGACGGTATATATACTTAACGCGTAGCAGAGTCCACTCAAAGACCACAAGAAACGGCGAAGAACTGAATCTCCAACATACGACTCGCTAAAGCCAGCCACCGATTTGTCGAACGGCGTCGGCGATCTCGCGGTGGACCACAGAACTCATGGTGTCGCTCGCGCAGGGGACCGTTGACGTCGAACTGCTGCAAGGAACTTCCTTGGCGCCGCCATTCTTATTTGCAGTGTTGCCGGAGTACAGGCCGCAGTTGCCGTGCCCGCGGAGAATGAAATTGGTCTTGTAAGCAGCGAACGCCGCCGGAAATGATGATGCATCGCTCGGATCGCCATCTTGCTCGATGACTTCCGCAGACGCTGCCCTCCGGCACGCGCTACTCGCCCTGGCGACGGCTTGTGTAGGCTTGGAGTTCCCCTTGTACCCTTCCCGAAGCTGGGGCAAGTCGCCACTCCCGTGTTTTTGAGGCTCCGAGACGTTCGCGCTGGGTTTCTTGAATTCTTGAGACTTTGCCCGCACCATGAGGTCAGAAGGAGTGCGGGCCCTAAGCCTTCTGGGGTCCTGAGGCTTCGACTGCGGGACGCCTGGATTGCAGACGGACACGTCCTTGCCGCTGTGGTCCAGGAGGATTCCGTTGCTGATAATCTCGTGCGTCGACTCCGGCTGCTGGTGGAGTTTTCTGCGGTCTTCAGACTTGCTTCGGCGTCGCAAGACCGGGTTGCCGGAGTCGACGAAGCGGTGGACCCCGACGACCCGGGGTTTTTCGTCGGGTGTCCTCGCGCTTCGCGGAATCATCAGGCGGGGTTCCGGAAGGGCCGGGTAGTTCCACCCGATGTCGTCCTTGGTGGCGTCACCCCTGGCACTGCTCGGGAGGGTGCACTCCGCCTTCGGGACTGGAGTGCTCGAGATCTGTGGTAGTGGTGATGGATTTTATGAATTTCTAGATGATTAGTTTCTGGTGAGTTTTAAATGTCAGTGAGGAGGGGAGAAGAACAGATGAGAATTGTTTCTTTTCGAACCCTCTTGAGTGCAAGTAAATATACGTAGTTTTTAGATACAACAAAGTAAACAAACATTGCAAACATAAAAAAAGTTTATGCGTTATTTATAGGCGGATCAAAATACGTGGTTCAATCGGTCAACTGTTGCAGAAATTTTAGCGCCATCGCCTACCTCAAGATCAAACGGGCACCCTGTCCAACCGTTCTTTTCCATCATGGGCCAAGCATTTGAGTGTCGTTGCAAAAAATTTTATATTAATAAAGGATCATGGTTTTTCCATTATAAGTGATGAAAAAGCTGAACGAATAATGCTTTTTAATAGTTACAGCCCTGAAATATACCTGTATAATTTCAGGAATGACTCCTTTCTAATTGTGGCCGATGACGCGTCAATACTTAGGGATATTTTCTTGGCGTTTAAATGAAAGATAAAAGATAGCTGATAGTTCGGCAATATATCGCACTGATACTTAGTGATATAAATGAAGCAGATATTTGTCCGGCAAGGTTATGCTGAAGACGCGTCTTAGAATCTTCTAAAAATATCAGATCAATATTTTTTTTTTTTTTTTTACAAATTCGCGTTTGTCTTCCCATACAAAAATGGTCTATGGTCGGCTATAGAAAATCCTTTGTATGGCCGGCTATAGCAAATTGGCCCAATTAGCTATAGCCGTTTCTATGGCTGTCTATAGCTTTCCCTATGGTCTCCCCTATAGTTGTCTATAGCTTTTTCAATGGAAATTTCGCTATTGAATTCGGTATGGTTTAGTCTATGGGTCTCTTTAGAAAGGATGCTATATCCGCCTATGGCTTTTCTTTTGGTTCCTTTAGTTACCTACAGCATTTTGTATGGTCTGCTATAGAGATGTCTATGGCTTGCTCTATGGATCTTTTTAGACACCGTGCTATAGCTGCCTATGGCTTTTCCTACGGTTTCTTTAGCCGTCTATTGCCCTTTGTATGGTCCGCTATAGCTCATTCTATAGCTCGTCTTATGGTTCTCTATACCCATCGGGCTACAGCTTTCTATAGCAATTCATATGGTCCCTTTAGCCGCCTATAGCATATTGTATGGTTTGCTATAGAGATCTCTATGGCTTGCTTTATGGATCTTTTTAGACACCGTGCTATAGCTGCCTATGGCTTTTCCTACGGTTTCTTTAGCCGTCTATTGCCCTTTGTATGGTCCGCTATAGCTCATTTTATAGCTCGTCTTATGGTTCTCTATACCCATCGTGCTACAGCTTTCTATAGCATTTCATATGGTCCCTTTAGCCGCCTACAGCATCTTTTATGGTCTGCTATAGAGATCTCTATGGCTTACTCTATGGATCTTTTTAGACACCGTGCAATAGCTGCCTATGGCTTTTTCTATGATTTCTTTAGCTGCCTATTGCTCTCTGTATGGTTTGCTATAGCTTCTTCTATATCTCGTCTTATGAGTCTCTTTACCATCGTGCCATAGCTGCCTGTAGTTTTTCTTTTTACCGCAATCGTATGAAATGTGAAACAAATTATTTGTTGTCAGTGGACATCTTTAAAAAAAACCTTGTGAGACGTGCCGAACTTCATAGCCCCATTTAAAACAAAAAGCTAACATTTCAACAAAACAACAACAAAAAACAAATGCACTCACTCAGGTGTTTGCAAAATCACAGGTAAACAGACACAAGGTATTGTTTTCAAATCTCCTAGAAGTTTATTACACACAGCCCATTCTGTAGACAAGCACACACTAAGCAATCTCTACTATGTGAAGAGGTACTACTGAGCTGTTATACAACTGAGAATATTGTAAAGCAAACAAGAACCAAAGGGAATTCCTGGGTAGTGTCTAGTCCCCCGGCAGCCGGCCGAATCCCCCCCCCCCCCTCCTTCACCCCGAAATTCTAATGCCAGTCGCCACTCATTGGCGCTGCAATCAGTTTATCAAAAGACGTTTCATTGAGATCGTTTCATCAACACGTGACGTTTATAAACAACTCAAAATATATTTTTTTTTGTAATGATTTGCCAAGAAGTGGCGTGAACGGGTGGGCTGAGTCGGTGAGCACGCGCCCCTGCAGCGTGCAATTCGCGTAACGAGTGCCGACTAAACGTGTGTCCATGAAGCGTCTATCCTCGAAAAGGTGTCCATGAAACGTCTTTTCACCAAACGCAGAGAGAATAAGAATGTCAGTATTCTAACTACAATTTTCACATGATTTCAGAGAGCTAATGGCAGGCGACTGCGGTAGAATTACGGGGAAATTATTCTCCCAGCTGTCAGAAGATAGGCACTGCCAGGAGATAGACACTACAGAACGGTCAATTGTCGCCGAGTAGGTTGCAGCGCACTTACGTTCAAAATACCGGACTTGAAAGATGTAATCCGAAATATACGTCGACACGGGTACTGCAGACCAACCACTCAAACACAAAACCGAGAAGGAAGGGATCCGTGAAGATTCACAACGATGTAGCACAAGCTGTCATTTGTCGAACCGAACACTGAACGCATCACAAGAATGTCTTGGGCTTCTTTGAAGAAATCGCTTGTTGCCGACATACGGGTAGGACTTTTCGATCGGGATACCTTTTAACATAGAAGCGAAATCCACAGCAGCCCCGCGGGCCGCACGACACGCGAAACTAGGTCCGCAAGCAGCCTCATTCAGGGATTGGCAGCGGCTATTACGTCATCCGTCAAACCACGTGATCACGCTCCTTCCGTTACTTGCGCACAGAGCGGAGTGAAGCGATATAAAGTCTACGATTGATTGGTCCGCCGAGTCCGCACCTTCTGCAATGCTTTTAGCTTAGGGAGAGAGAGAAAACAGAAAAATTGAAAAGCAGAGCTCCTTCAAGGCCAGAACGGGGGTGCGATCACAAAGACTAATCCTCAGGGGCACACCAACAATGAACACAGCGAGAGAATGTGTCACTTATATCCTGTTGACAGTTCGAGCCAAGGTTGATAGTGCAGTGGATGCTATGTGTGGCCTTGGGCTTAAGGCAGGTGCCGTGTCCAGCGTTATCACCAGCTTCGAGACAGTTGTCACAGGACCCTAACCGGAGACATGATTGGCCTCAAACACGCATAGCGTCTACTCTGCTGTCACTACCGAGTGAACAGGACAGCTCTATGAAGGCCTCCCAGCTTTTGGACTTCTTTCTAAAGCTGCACTTCCCAGAAGTGACCCAAAACGAGGCATGTTTGAAGATATCATATTTTACGCCTTTTAGCCCACACTCTAATTCAAAATGAATAATTAATGGCGAACACTTTTTCTTTGCGCAGGATGTCCGCAAACAAATAAATAAATAAATAAATAAATATATATATATATATATATATTTTTTTTTTACCAAGCACTTTTGAATTTTGTGTACACTGTTAGGATCGCGTTTTTAAACTTCCATTTTGGGAATCTTTGCATCGTTGTGGCATCTATGATTGCGTGGTTTAAGAAATTTGTGCCGTAATACGTTTTTCATCCGTGAGTTCAGTCTATATCACTGCCATCAATTACAATCTCTGAGCACCATGATGACTCATGGTGGGGATGTGTGCTCCAAGAAGCTCCAATGAGCTTAATGTCTCATAATTTAAAGAAAAAGAAGAAAAATTAGCCACAGCGCTTGCTGATTTGTTGAATTCGCAGAACAGAAAGATAATAGGACGCACCTAGGGTAGCGCGTGCCTAATGATATTAATTGTTTTTTTTGGCTGTTATTTTTTGCATATTTCGCCGTTCTCGACATGGGCGTTGACGGACATTGCACCGCTGCTTACGCCCCTGCCGGGGTAAGCTTTTTTGTTGTCACTACACTCTATCGCGCTATAGGCGCGTCGATTTAACGCTCATGAAGTCTCGAGAGAACTGTGAATTGTTTAGTCAGAGCAACGACGCAGCAATCGCGAAATGAGAGACGACTGCGTGGGACTCTCGAGCGTGGGACTCTCGAGCAGCGTTAACTTGCTGATGATGCAGGACGCTGCTTTGTCGTTGAGATTCTTTGACCTGCGAACGCCGGCGAAAACGTTCCAGTGCTCGGCGTACCCTAGGCAGCAGCGCCTATCAGCGACCGCACGCGCAGCATCGAAACCTTTCTGGAGCCTACTGGCAGTCTGCGAGCGCCGACGATTTATCGTTGCGACTTGAATGGAAGCATTTTATGAACTCCTGCGGTGAACATGAAACACCGCGAACATGAACTCCCGCGAACATAATCCCCGCGACGGCGAACCGCCGGCGCTCGCAGACGGAGGGTTCCGATGCTGTGCGAAAGGTTGTTGGAGGACGCTGCGTAGGGTATACGCCGGGCGCAGGAACGGCTTCGAAGCCATTCGAAGGGCAAAGGATTCGCGACGACCAAGTAGTGTCTTGCATCTTCAGTAAGCTAACGGGGCTCGAGAGTCCCAAGCTTACATTTCCACAGAGCGAGCGCGGCCGGTTAGATCGAGGCGCAGTCAGCACTCGCGTCGCGATTGCTACGTCGTTGTTCTACCTACACCGATGACATGTGCACCGGCATTCGAAACCGCCCTCTCGAGACTTTATACGAGTCCAATAGACGGCTTTATAGCGCTATAAACCGTCGTGGCAAGAGTAAAGCTCACCTCTGTAGTGGCGTAAGCAGCGTTCTTGACGCCGCGTCGAGAGCGACGAAATATACACAAAAAAAAAACAAAAAAACATTAAATATATTTAACACAGCAGGCAGAAAGAAATACAAACATGGCAGGGACACGGACAAAGTAGAAGGCGCGCTACGAAATACATATACTTACAAAATACACTGGAAACGACAGATAATTAGAGCTAAAAAACGGAAGATTGAGATGACGTCAACGCCGAAATAAGGCAATGCGCAGGGAAAGCAGCCGGCAAAACTGCAATAGACCTATAGGCAGCTAAGGACGCTTTTGTGATTGCGGGCGTATAGCCTCGGCGACGTACGCCCCGTTAACCTGGCTGAAGAAAATTCTCGCCCCGATCGAGCGCATGAATGACTCTCTTCCACTTTGGTACATCTGCAGTAAAAAAAAAAAAGAAAAAAGAGGGTCGCGGGCCTATAGCCGAAGCAAACCAGTGAGCCGACTAAAAAAATTGGATGGTCGCGAGTCTATAGCTCGGGAGACATACATCCCTCTATAGCCAGCTAAAGCAGATTGTAAGATCGGGGGCTATAACTTTGGTGACATAGAACACTATTGAGTCGGCTAAAGAAAATTCAATGGTCGCAATTCTATAGATTTAGGGACATACACCGCTCTATAGTCGGCTAAAGCACATTGAATGGCCGGAGGCCTATAGCTTTGGTGACATAAAACACTATAGAGACGGCTAAAGAAAGTTCGATGGTCGCGAGTCTATAGACTTAGGGACATACACCATTCTATAGCCGGCTAAAGAACATTGAAAGGTCAAAGGCCTATAGCTTTGGTGACATAAAACGCTATAGAGTAGGCTAAAGAAAATTCAATGGTCGCGATTCTATAGATTTGGGGACATACGCCACTCTATAGCCGGCTAAAGCACATTCAATAGTCGCGAATCTATAGCATCAGGGAGATACATATTTCTATAGCTGGCTAAAGAGTATTGAATAGTCGCGAGTCTATAGCTGCGTAGTCATAAATTATTCTATAGCCAGGTATAGAAATCGGAATGGTCGAGATTCTAAAGCTTTGAAGACATACATTTTTCTATAGGTGGCTAAAGCGTGTTTTATGGTTTCTAATGGCTGACCATAGAGGGCCATAAAAGGTGATAGCTCACCATAGGATTTTCCATAGACGTCCATAGACCATTTTTGTATGGGTTGATAAGGCATGACTGTGTGGCAGCAAATGCTTTGTTGCCCCATAACCATTCCGCACATCACTGGACCTATAAAATGTCCTTCATTCAGTGAGGTGCGGAATGTGTGTTTGCGTTTTACAGATTGTTTGAAACAGAAATTTGAAATCTGTTCCTTCTTTTTTTAATATCCTCGTATATTTATTTGCCAATATATGACCTAACTAAGTGAGCTACCAAATGTCCCTAGACCGGCAAGACATATATACGAACCTTGAGCGAGGCCAGGGCCCGCTTCTCCTCCAGCAACAGCTCTTCGTTGTCCGACTGAAACCCGGCCGGGGGCCGTATCGTGGGTATGTCGATGATCACTTCTTCGCCGGCGGGTTGCTCGGTCTCCGTCGAGTACTCCAGGAAACTGGAGCGGCCCGAGTCGGTCGCCTGCGCGTCACTCTGGTCGCTGTCCTCCGTGTCTGAAGTCTTCGACGACGTCTGGAAAACGGGAACGCGGACCATGTGGCACTACGTCGCAAACATGCAGTGCCGTGGTAGGTATACCACATAACAGGTGTAGACTTTCACGTTTGCTAAGCCTACAGCTTTTAATATGTTTACTAAGCCTACACATTTTGCTAAGAACACGCTACGGGGTGCCAGGCAGTTAAAATCGACCGCAAAAATCGGTTCTCTAAGCTATCGCGTTCAGATTTTGGTCAGCGTGACTCACAGGTGGTCCACTTTTAGAGCGGAGCTGTTAAAGGCTAGTTTCCCCTGGATCGTGTCCCCGGCAAAGAAATGTCGACACAAAATTCTGGTTGCCGCCGTCGCTCATAGATGGCGGTAGCTGTCCAGAGTGTTGTGTTTGCCGGGTGTCCACTTGCCGCCGTCGCTCATAGATGGCGCAACCTTTCCAGCCTTTCCACTATGCCTTGCCGACTTGCGGCCGGCCATTACTTCATTCCAACTATAGTACAGCTTCGCTGGTCTTCCTTTTTCACCAAAGTGAAAAGGCTAAAAGTATTTTCTATACAATTTACAAAAAAACGAACTTACGCGAGGAAAAAGTAAAAAAAGAAAACGGTTTAAGGCGTAAGTCCTATGGAAACGCTACGAAGCCACCGGTCTTCAAACAATAGGCTCTTTCCAAATGTTATAGAAAAATGCACCATCTGTGGGCAACGCTGCACAAAATCGTAGCGCGATAGGCTAAGAAACCGTATTTTGCGGTCGACTTAAAGAGCCTGGCCGCTATTTAAGACACCCTGTAGTACAAGGTGTAGGCTTAGTTAGCTTGCTACTAGTACACTCGTAACAGATGTAGACTTCCTAAGTTTGCTAAGCATACATCTGTTATTATAATTCCTAAACATGCCAACACGTGTTAGTATATCTTCAAGGCCTATACTGGTAGCATTTTTGCTGACGTGCCTACGTATGTTGTATATCTTTGCTAAGCATACCCTGATAGCAAGTGCAGGATTAGCATGTTTAGTAATCCTAGACCTGTTAGCGCATTTGCTAACATGCCTGAACTTTTTAGCATGTTTGCAAATTTCCTGCACTGGTAACAGGCTTACCATGTTTGTTAAACCTTCAGCCGTTTAGCATGTCGGCCAACATGCTAACATACACATACCCGCTAGATTGTTGGCTAGGCCTGTACCGGTAGGAGGTGTAGGCTTAGCATGTTTGTAACATAATCATATAATTTATTTCTTAAACGAAAGGTGGCAGTTCTTTCCCTAATTGTTTATTGCGACATCAGGGCTGCGGGAGACTCTTCACCCTTTGGGTGTTTGGCGAAGTTTTGTTTTTGGCGGGGGCTTGTGGTTAAAAAACAAAGACGGTAATGCCCCATTTTGTTTTTGTGACGTCAAAACAAATTTGTTGTTCGTACTGATTACTGTATATAGTGACGCCATTCGTTTCTGTGAATACGGAGGCAGAATTTCTCCTGCGCGATTTGAGCTGCAGATCAAATCGGTAAGAAAGAGAGGACCTAATCAGCGAACAGCGGTGTGCAAAAGGGAGCAAAACTGCAGCGCTATAAATATGAGGAGTGTTAATTTGCTTGGCTTGAGTCATTTTTGATCGCAAAAGTTTTCGAAAAGGCAGCGGTATCATGACCAATGTTGGCATTGCAATCAACTCCGGCATAGAACTTGTTCGACAATACATCCGAATTAAAATTAAAACGCAAATCATTCTATTACGATAACGGTTTCCGAATATACTATACCCGGTTTTTTATGCTGATTTTTCTGCCGATCTGTCAAGAGCATTCCACGTACATTTATCGGTGTTTTTCGGCAAATACCGGAAGCCAGAGACGCCCAAAATGTAACCATAATGCTCTAAGTATCAGACAAGTGCTACCTTAGGCTATACTATTATAATACGAATAGTACACATTACGGTGTAAAGGATTATATATATATATATCACTAGAAAAAGAGGGGGTATCCCCTTACACCTTTTTGTCCCATATAATGCACCCCAAAACTTCAGTCCGACATACAGCGCCCTATAGTCGAACAGACGGCCACAAATTTGACGAGGGGCTTGATAACGGTGCGATATAACTTATGTAATAGCTAAAGTACGTATCAAAGACCATGGAAAGAAGACACTGAGTTTTTGCAGTAGGGTCAAGAAAACCCCGACTATCTTTTTTTGTCAGTAACACTTACATTAGCTATTTGAATAAGTTGTACCACACGGCTATCAAGCCCCACGTAAAATTCAAGGCCGTCTGTTCGACTATAGGGCGCTGTACGTCGAATTGAAGTTTTGGGGTGTAATATATGGGACAAAGGGTGTAATAATAAACCCTTTTTTTAGAGTGTACTGTTAGACACATACACGTATATTTTCAAACTCCCGCCTTTTGTAGAACTTTCAACGGCGTTACAAGATACATTGTTTGAATATCTCTCAATAATCACCTTGGGCTCTTCGATGACCTTCTTGAGGGTGATCACTTCTTGCTTCAGACCTTCACATTTCTCCTTTAGCTGGCACCGCCCGAAAAAGAAAGAAAACAATACAGGCAAACGTTTAGTAAGCAACGGTAAAATTGATTAACCCCTGTATTATATTATTACCTATTCTTTGAATGGAAAAACACTATTCAGCAACACACCGGATACGCATTCCACAGAAAGAGGTAAGTTGTACTGTGTGTAAAGGAGAACGTGACACTGGTACAAAAAAAGCTATTTAAAAATGATAATATAGAACTTACAGAACGTTACATGTATGAACATCTTTCACACGATTTCATCATTTAAACATTGTCCCATTTCAGTTTTCTATTAATTGTTTTAGAAAGTTCAGTTTCCATAACAATCAAAATTCCACCATGGTTAGGAGAATTTGTTTGCAGCAATATTTCGGGGTAATCACGGTGCCATATCACTTGCGAAATTGGATATCTATATTGTTTTTTTTCTGTTTTTAGAGTAGTGTTATATTTGTTATATACCATACAGAAGGCCTTATTGTTTGTGCACATGTCAATATAAGAATACTCACTATTATTATTATTTTAAGGTTGAGCTGCGGAACAACGTTGATGGGCCTCCGCGTAAGCTTGCATGCAATGATTCAGCAATTATGCATCTTTCTTTTTTTTGATGTGTGCAAGAGATTTAAATTGTTATTCTCAGGAGTGTTATTTCTTTCCTTTGTTCACCATTACAGTGAGCTGTGTTGCAACCTGCAACGACCTCGAAGGAGGTCGAAGTGTGTACAAATAAATGACGAAATAAATAAATAAATGTGAGCTGTTTGACAGGCAAAATCAACTTGCCCTTCCCCGTGACTAATATGAAACGTAATGTGTGTACCTATTCAAGCCGTGGTGTTGACAATTGGCCAACCTCTTGGTCAAGATGCTCCCTTTTCCCCTTCCAAATTGTTCAAAGAGTGTGCATTCGGCAACTGACGGAGTTTACTTTCGTGAAATTCAGCGGTCAACGGTATTTCTGCTTCTCATTAAATCTACACTTATCAAGGTTTATGTACGTCAATAGACATGATCCAAGCGTAGATAAATAAAAAAAATACAGACATAATTTTTTGTTACGAGCAATTTCTGAAAGGAATCTAGGGGATACGGTTTCCACTGCATGCCTCCCAGTGAACGCCGCACATCGTAAACTTCAAAGCACAGTCGTGGAGGACATAATCGCAAAGACAAACATTCACTGGGCGCCATATTTGAGGGCGATGTTTAGAGCGCATGTTCAGAACGAGCTCACATTAATGGGCTGCTGCTAAGACCGGCAATCTTGATGGTGCGGAATGCACGTTGCAAAAGAACTGTGAAAGCTCGCTGACAGCACGCGCTCATCAGTTGCGCACACAGGCATGGTCGCCAGTGAATAAGGAGTATTCACTGGGCGCCATATTTGTGGGTGATGTCTAGAGTGCATGCTCTGAACGAGCCCACATTAATAGGCTGCTAAGACCGGCAATCTTGAGGGCGCGGAATGCACGTCACAAAAGAACTGTGGAAGCTCGCCATCAGCACGTGCTCAGCAGTCGCGCACACAGCTATGGCCGCCAGTGAATACTTCCTTTGCTCATTATATATTCCACAGTGCTTATGCAACGTGCATTCCACAACAAGATTGCCAGTCGCCGATCCGGCAGCAATTCTTTTAAACACACCAGCAAATAAACACTTCGCGCATAGAATTATCGATGTTTCCACATGAATGCTGAAAGCAGAAAGAATACATTAGGCAAACAACTATCTAAATATCATATCACGCTAAAAGACAGTAACATACCTCCCGCTCAGCCTGCATCAGGTTCACTTTGTCCTCTTCCAACTTTCTGAGGGCCCGGCGCAACAGTTCCACCTGAAAGGAAGCGGGTATAAATGCCACGCGTCGCGAAACGATATCGAACGTGTTAATCACTAATCACGATTCCAGTGCTAATCACGATTGCAGCCAATCCATCGCTGTGAATGTGGAACTCTGAACCTCGCGAAGGTCACAAAAAGGTCACAGGACGCATTTACGCGGCCTTAGACCGGCGTCGGTGACACGTAGCGTCGTATACGCGGTCCATCGGAGGATGAAACTGAGTATGGGAAGAATGCACCGCTGTGTCTGTGTCTTTCTTCACCTGGACCCTCGTCCTTTGCGCTGTTTTTATTATTTTTTTCAATTATGTTATACCAACTAGCCCAAGCCTCAACTTCAGCAAATATTACAGTTCTGACCGGAGCAACAAACGAAGCGCATATTATTCCCGCCCGTAGTGAAACAGTCACACAGCATCCGTGCCAGTGTTTGAGGATCGTTGCGAGTGGCGTGGGCCGAATGGCGTGATTCAGCAAGTTTTAGTATTACCTATACCAGCCAACGCAAGCACTGTGCATTTGCGTTAGCATTGCGTGTTCCACACTACGCGTGAGCCGAGCCATATAGCCTCCAAAAGCCTGGCAGTTCGACGACGGAACCATAAAGTGCCCGAAGTCGCAGATTTGGCGCGCGAGGATCTGGTAGCACAGAGCTTCAGAGAGGCATTTCTCGGGGAACCTAGACGTGAGCGCGCAGCTTTTGCAGCGGCGAGGCCGCGAAACACACTTGTTCCCATGGAAGAAGTGTGTTTCGGCGTATCGCCGCAGCGGGGCGCCAGTCACGTGGCGCTGCTCTCATCCGTTGTCTGCCGCTCCTCCTTTTTCATTTCGGCGGCCGCTTCTCGGAGCGATCTGCCAGGCTTTGTCAGTATATGGAAGGCTATGGCCGAGCCCAAACTGTGTCTCAGATCGACGCATGGCGACTAAGCGCATGGGCAGCGTAGGGCACGCAGCGCCAACGGTAACGCACAGCGCCTGCGTTTGCTCCTACACGCAATACTAAAGATCTCCATTAAGTGACAGTGTGCATCGACGAAAGCTACAGTCAATAGCGGCAAAGCCCCGATACATTAGCATTGTTTTCTCTCTCATCGTCATAAGGTAATTACCACGAACAAGACGACGCGGTTCACGTTCGCCCTAAAGCGCCCAAGTTGACGTCATTGAGAATCGTGTTACCTCGAACGAGTATAGAAAAAATTGACGTGCCAACCTTTTGCACTTGTTCACGGCGACTGGAGGACAAACTATGACGGTCGTGGGTGGATTATTTGATGGGATAATATTTGTTAAACGTTCCCGCGGGTTTTATTTAAGGAACCCTGGGTTTAGCGAGTCCCCGGCCATCTTAGCTTCGCTGGGCATTTAATGGGAGTGCAGCATTGGACGTTAAATATGCCGAAGAACGAATCGCATAAGAAGAAACGTCCTGATTCTTAAAGTGAAGGCGACTATCACAACCAAGACAGGAGGTGACAAGTTTACAATAGTGTACCGAGCGTTACGATGAAGTGGACGAAAGCATTTCATAAAATTTGATTTTATTTTAAACGTCCTCAAAAAAAAAAAAAAAAAAAAAGATTGTTTGGCAGCGGCGTGGGGCACGGCCCAAATGCCTGCACATTCGAGACATATAATTAGGCCCGATAGCTCATCTTATAGACTGACACACCGTTTACAAAACAAGTCAGCGTTTGCCCTCATCAGGCGTGAGCACTAAGCACGCACAGGAACTTGAAGCGTCGGCGCACGCGAACAGCGCAGCATGTGGGTGCAACCACCCATCCAAACTTGTGCCCGCTAGTTGTAAAAAAATGTAATGGATTACAATTACTAATTACCGAGCCTCAAATGTAATGGACTACCGTCACAAATTACTTTCGCTGAAAAGTAGCGGATTACTTTACTCGTTACGTTAGATATTACTTTCACGTTACTTTTCCCGTACAGTTAGCAAGAAAATGATAAAAATTTTGTTTTTGATATTTACAAAAATGTCTTGCAGCACTACTTTCCATTGCTCAAACGCCCGCAATTATTATTAGCGATGTGCGCGACCAAAAGTGTCGCTGCGGTCAGCTTTGCACGGTTGGCCAAACTATGGGCATATGAGCATTGTCAGATTGTCAACTTTGACGGTGTTAGTTTCGGATTGCGATGGCTCCTAGCTTCCACTGTGCTTCTTAAACACACCACCGAACTCGTCGTCGCACCTGATGGTGAATAGACTGGATAACAACTGGTGACGTCACGGCGAGGCAAATCCCAGTCGTGACGTCACGGATGGAAACCATAAGAGGGCGCCACCGAAACATCTCGGCGCTAATAGTCGTTGTAAAAATTAAATATTGCGTTTAAGAGAAAGAATGTGGGTGCAGTCCGTTGACCTGTAAGCTGACAAGGCAGCGGAAGTTGCGACCACAGCCGCCCTTCCGCTAGCTTACTTCCACCGGAAATGAGTCCTGGAATTCTGCAGACAAGGCTAGCGGTGCGCATGTTACTTCAGTAGCAGCATCTACTGAGCATGCGCACTACAGATCAAGATTACAGATCAGAAAGACAACGCCTCTTCGACGTCTTCCTTTTGATCTTTGATTTTGACATATTTGTATACGCCACGCACGTTTTTCAAATAATTCTAATGACCGGTTATACCAAAAAAAAAAATCGTGTTTTCTTTTTGGCTTTTTTTTCGCGGAACTTTATACCTTTATGCTGCTGAATTGTCCGCTCAAATTGCTCCAGTTTCATGTTCATATTTTTTTTTAGAAAGTAAGGAGTAAATAAAGTAATCCGTTACAACCATTTGTAACAAAATTACATTACAAATAACTGCCGCGAAAATGTAACGAGGCATTACAAAATTACTTGAAAAATGTAACGGATTATAATGAATCCGTTACATCTAACGGATTACTTCCCAAGCCTGCGCCAACCAGGGTTATCAGATGAATTCAGTTACGAAACTGTCCATTGACGCTGCTTCCACAAGCAGTACCTCCTATAAGCCTTAATACGCCTTATCAGATTTGTGTTCTGAAATGTTTATTGAACAAATCATACGCGATTTTTTTTTCTTCTAAGGGCTTTGCTCACACCTGCAGTTAGAGGCAAACGCGGACGTGCTTGTAGATAGCGTGCTGGTCTTTAACAGGGGTCTCCAAACGTTTTGGCTAAGCGACCAGATTAGCGTTCTATCGCAATCTCGAGGGATGAAAAAACAAAAAAGAGCAATCACAATTAAAGAAAAACAAACTAAGCCTACATAAACATTTAAACGCAGAAATTAATGTTAGAGTAAGTCTTAAAAACCCTAAGGTGGATCAATATGTATACGCCAAATTAAAATTTAACATCTAGTTAATTAGGACTTTACATGACAACACTAGCGGCCAAGAAAACTCACAAGGCATAAATCAAAGAGCATGGAAACCTTGGTATATTTGCGCAGTGCGAAGGACCAGTGAGAAATATAACACTAATACTGACAATATGCAATCGTTATGACAGGACACTAAGCGAAATGTATATAGTACGTGAGAAGGAATTGAAATCTTAACAGAGTTACACAGACATTTGGAGCAGGGGACTAAGAACGGTAATGCTAGTGATAACAACGTTCAATTCATAATATGGCGAGAGGACCCTTGTTACGATGCAGTTTCTCTCGTTCTTTCTGGTATTTTAGTTCGTGCACTTATAGCACCTCGCGCCGCCGTTCCTTCAAAGGCGCACTTCTTTAAGCACCGCTAGCAGCGGGTTTGCCGGAAGCGGACAGCAGACCGCGGGCTTGGGTGGAAAGACCGCAACCAGCCGGGGGCCTGTCGGAAGACTTCCGCGGAGCGGCCCGCGGGCCGGGGTCTGGAGACTCAGGTCTATGGTTTATACTTAGGACAGTATACCGTTTCCTCTTCCTTTCCCTTTGACAGATTCTGCGACCTCACCTCCGTCCTGAGTTTCCCGTTCTCGCTGCCCACTCGCTTGTGCTCGGTCAGCGCAGTCCCGACGTCCAGGTAGTTCCTTTTCCAGCGTCCAATCTCCTCCCAGACTCCATCCGTCGAAGGAACGCCTTTGTCCTGAAGGCTCTGCCAAAGACAACTTTCCGTTTTTGTCTCTGCGCCCCGCGGGAGTGTAATGGCCTCCCATCGAAAATAGTAGGCGAGATCTGAGGCTCTTTGTTCTAGCGTCAGCACAATGACTCGTGTATAAACTTAAAACCCTTTTGAAGCTTCTTTTTCTTTTTTCTTAATAGAAGTTTAGACTAGACTTTCCTCGTGCTGTGCGCTTAATGTATCTGCACCGGTGGAAGTTTAAAGAACTCTTCACCAGTCTTGGTCTTAATTTCACTATTCTACCCTTCATACCTTGAATTACCAGAAAATACGAATCTTAAAACCCCACGCGGATTGACGACAATTTGTCGTTATACTGGTTAGATCCTATTGACCCGTACTAGACACGTGTTTCTTAATATGCAGAGACAAATTTCCTTTTCCACAGAAACCTCTTATGGCGTAGGTGCAACACCTGCTAACTGATTTCTCGCACCTTGCAAGTTTTCCCAATACTTCCTTCTAACATTTCATGGCTCTGCGTTAACTCATTATGTACGTTGCCTCATTGTTGCTTGTCAAGATATAGTAATAGTGTCATGTGTTCTTCGTCGACTATTTACTAGCCCATGCAAGGTTTGATGATTTTGGCGAACTCACGCGATATATTTATTCAAATTCTCTTATGGCCTCGACTTTTTCATTGCTCATTCTCAATATTTCCTTACTTTCCTTGGCATCGACATTTTAAAGCACTTATCAATCGAACGCCTTTACTGCGGTTGGGAGCTTCAAAGGCTCATAAGTTTTCCCAATATCGAATGAGCTCATGTTTCTAAAACCCTCGATGCCTCTACAACTTTCCCAACTCGCGCAGTTGACCTGCTCGCTTTAAATTGCGGTAAATATTGAAAGCACGATCTGAATGTTTAAATTTGTGTAAACATACGTTTAAGTAAAATAATTACGCAACCTCTCTGGACGACTCAATTCCGTTACACTTGCGTAATTGAAGTAAATCGCACAGGGACGTTATGTTACTATTTTAAAGCAACCGTAATATCAAGACAAAATTTTAGGTCACCAGCATTAGCAGTACTCTCAAAGCGTGATATTTCACGAAAAAAGTTCCAAAACACGCGTAACACAATAAAGGAAAACTGCACTTATATGCATTTTTTTATCGCTTGTTACTAGGGCAAACTGTGCACACGAGGTGGGTTGTGTAAGAGGTGTACGGTAGTTTTCAGAGGAGGAGTGTTGCGCATGCTCGGAACGAAAGCCACCGCCCAGTCAAGCAAACATGGAAGCTCGCAGAAGGCAACTATTGAAATGATTTACATATTTTGATGTTAAATTACTCCCCAGAGTTAGTCGATACCTCCGGCACTTTGAGCCATCATTCCCAGAGTCCAATTCAAGAAAGATGTCCTCATCGTCTTGCCGTCATGACATCTGGAGTCCGTCCATTTGTATGTCAACATTTAGGCTTAATTATGGTGCCGATTTTGATCAAATGAATTCTTTTGTGCGGTTTCTCTCGATGTTATAGTAATCAAATAGGCAAATTGACACTTTTGCTGAGTTGGGGCAAGAAAGCTTGGGCCCATATCTCGACTGACGTGAAGTTACGGCACTTAAACTGTCATTTAAGCGTAGCTCTAAAAAGGGTTAAATCGTGATTTTTTTGTGTTTCTTTTATCCAGCGGATAGCTGCTTTGTATTAGCTGTGCCCCGGCTCCGCTGTTGTCGGGATTTTATCTTAAAAGACAGGATAAGGAATTAGCCACCTTTTCAAGAAGTACGACGTCCAGTCCGGCCTCTTCGAGCTCGCTCTGTAGCCTCACTTTCTCGGAGGGACTCTTGCTGTTCGAGAGCAGGATGTTGAAGAAGTACATCACGGAGAACTGAAAAAAGACCAAAAGACAAAAAAAAGGTTAATTTAAGTGACTAGCCACGACACTTACAACGACGGTTAGCCGTCACATCGGCGAAACTGCGTCCCCTCTACCGTTACAGAACCTCATCATGAGAAGACTTTTTTTTTTCAATCCACCAATTAGCCTTTCAATAACTGGTTCAAAATAACCGTCCCGTAACTCGGTCAGCTATAGCTAAGCCAATCACTGCCATCACTGGCTAACGACCGCGTTTCCTTACCTCGAAGCCCGCAGTCATCTTTCCTCCTCCGAGAAGCATCGCCACGAGGAACTTGAAGCGAACCGGCTCGCCGAAAATCAGGCGCACCGAAGACATCGCCTCGAGGACCATGGCTTGGCCCGCGGGGTGCTCTTCGCACGTCTTGGCCAGGAGCTGCAAGAAAGGGAGGAAGGTGGGGACGCGAAAAGGAAGCGCATCTGGTCAGACGTGTCGTCCGGATGAACAGCGAACAAAACTGTCTTCCGTCGCTCTGGAGGTGCGATGTATAGGCAGAGAATATTCCGAGACCGAAATTTTGTAGGAAAAAAAAAAAGCTGCACGTTTGAAGCTTGATTGCGAATGCAGACTGTCTCTTGTGTGATGTATCGGTAGTGCGGCCGAGGCTATAGAAGGCACTACGCAGACTTCTCTGAAACCTCTCAATGAGAAAGTATGCGATGCTGTAAAAAAAATGGCATGATGACTCCAAAAGTACAAAGTTCATGAAGCTTGAAAACGGTCCCGCCACACAAATATTCCACAAACGTTGGAAGGTTCTTTTATCGTTTATTATCGACTATCATAGGAACTTACGTAGTTAATTTCTTTAATTCTTTTTTTTTTATCTAGCCGCGGGGCAGAGATGCAGTTTTAAAAACATGCTAGAGGTGGTTTCTGGTTGTCAAAACTCGGGAGCAAGTATATCAAGTACCGTGTGGTCTCGATTGTTCACTAGGAACTCGAGACCTGAAGTGGAAAAGTGCAACCGCGTGAAAGTGCGAGAATTGAAGTGCAAGTGCGAGAGCAAGGTGAAACACATTCTTACACGCTGAGCTTGTTTCGCCAAGTAGATCATGACTGAGTGACGTATCTTTTTTTTTTTAGTTTTTTTATCTAAATGTTTTTAGTGGAGTTCGTACCTCAAGCGCCAGCTTGCGGGATTTGCTGCAGTTGGACATGATTCCAGAGGCTATGGTGCAGAGGCCACTTCCGTGACTGATGATCTTGGGCAACGATTTCTGAAACACAGATTACTATATGGTAACAAAGTAGACACCCTACCTGCGCAAAAGAGCCAAAATTGGGCTCGGATAATGCCGAAACCTCGGCTGTAGTGATAAACGAGAAGTCTGACAATCCGATCACCGGCAATCACTGATTCGGCCCTTGGGCTTTTTTTTTAATTGCCAAAGAATTTTGGAGTAGGGGGTCCCAACGAGGCGTACGTCGCACTGCGCTTGCGCATACGTTCTAGGCATGCTCGGCGCGACGCTCCAAGCTGCTTCGGCTATCCAAAGCTTTGCTGCATATTCTAAATCTTTATATTATAAAACGTGCATAACTCTCTGGCACTCACTACAATCGCGCTTGAAGAAACAGACGGGAAAAAGTGCGCCCGAGACATCCATGTATTTGTAGCCGAGGCATTCTCTCAATAGAAACCTATGCAGGTAGAAAGTGTGGGAGAGCAGGAGCCGAGAGGCGCGGGGTCGTCGGTACACCGAACCCTGACTGGAATGGGGCAGACGCCAAGTTAGCTGCCTTTGTCTCTTCTCACTTTCTGAACGCGTTCGAACCCCGAACGCTGGCGTCCGGCGTTCGCGTTCGAACGCCTTCAAAGAGTTAGTGGGGACAACGCCAATTAGCTTTGCATCCACGCTTTAGCCAGGTACTCCAACCAGACCTCAGTGTTGTAGCATTCCCGCGCCCTTTCGTTTCCCCCTCTCCCTCTGTTTCTACCCGAATAAGGAAAACGGTAACTATGCGCAGCGTAAGTTCGTCTGCTTCTTTTGCAGGGGTTGCGGTGACGTCAGAGTGACGCCGAGCTCTGATTGGCTCTGATGGAAGGATTCTGGGTAGACATCGAAGCAAGCTGCCTCGAAGTCTACCCACCATCCCTCAATCAGAGCCAATCAGAACTCGGCGTCTCTCTGACGTCACCGGAACACCCTCACAAAAGAAGCAGACGAACTTACGCTGCGCATAAAGAATACTTCGAGTTTTTCGATTGGTGTTTCTTTGGAGGGAAAGAAACAATTGGCAGGAAACTTACTTGGCATCGCAGGGCGTACAAGAGACACTGAAGACAGTCCAATTCTTCGGACTGTGGGAGAAAAACAAACATTTTTGAGCAACGAGAATATGCACACATGAAAGGCCCGTTCACATACTTGCGACCGCTCAGAACCGGGTGACTTGGAACCTCTTAATATATTTTAGAACGAGAGGACACACTGGCGCCATCTATTGGGTAGCAGTGTAAATTTGGCGGTTCGCCATATTTTCTATTTCTCTCACGCATTATCCTTTCTTTCTTGGTTCAGAAAAGTTTTGTCGTCGTTATAAACGAGCCTTTCTTATAGGCATTACGCACATTTGACCTCGGAAATCCCGCAAAATCTTTACTCTTGGGAAATACAGTTCCAGGATCAACACATAGATGGCACCAGAGTGCCAGTGCGTTCTCTCGGTCGTACTCGGTTGCAAGAGTGTGAACGGGCCTTTAGGTAGAAAGATCTAAATCGTAGGGTATGGGGGTAAAATCCACACTTTCCAAAATTCAGTCTGGCCACTTCAATAGCAATCATCACCCAAATGTGTGTCATCTGTACATGCTAATGGCGGCCTTTTGATGGCTGGTGAAGTAAGATTTTGAAGACAGAAACCGACGCGGAGCCTATGCATCCAGACGTCAGTTTGCTGTATTGTTGTTCAATGTATCTATGCATTCGAAGGAGTCATGTAAGTCCTTGAATTGCTCGGCTTCGGGTGACAGCTCATGACAATCAAATGTTAATTTTATCAAGAAATTTACTCATCTACAAGCGCCTTGTGCAGAGAGGTAGGTTCTTGACATCATAGAAACTGAAGCAAATAGAGGAATCGCTCTTCACTGAAAAACACCGTAACTTCCGTACGTCTCTTGTTGACGAATAGTTACCAGATTTTATCCGCCATTAGCCTACAACAATTTGGACTGATATTTTATTAGCTAGATGGCGTTGAGTTTGTGAAAGGGTCTACTGCATGATAACAACGCGGAAAGTTTGCCGCAATGGCCAAGAACCGTTTTTAAACGAAGACGCAATGCGTTCGTCTCAAAGTACACTGAAATCCCGTCTAGGCATGCATACAACGACCAACGTTATCTTTAAAAAGAATTTGTCCTGTTAAAATATGACACCCCATTACTTGGGTATTTCAAATGTGGCGCCTTTATGTACGAACCAAAAACTTTCCGTTGCTTCCGCAACATGGCGACACGGTACGCATACAGGTATTTGCAAGCAATGAAATTTTAAGTATATTAATAATGGAAAACCGATATTCGTTCGCCATATCAGTAGTCATGTTGCATCGTTGTGTCTCAGCATGATGCGAACAGGAATTTTCAATGGAAAGCCGAAGGAGAAAGAAGGGCGTTTTCTCTCATTGATTGTAGATGGCGGCACATTGCAAAGGAACGGTGCGAGCGCGCCAAAACCGAGAGTTCAAGATCGCGTCCACAGATGGTACCACGTGCGCCAAATCGAACGCTACCAGTTTTTTTTTTCTTTAATGAACTATTACAACGACTGATTTGACACACTTTCGAGCATTTTCTGCGTGGTCATCTAGCGTGCTTCACACATTTTAATACAACGAACAGCATGATCCCCAACACAACCGATCGACTGCCAAAAGGGGCAATAACAACAAAATGCTAAAACTAAGTTGTATCTTGAGCAGCTGGTTTTGATCGATATTGGCAACGTGAGCGATCGGAAGCGTTGCAGTGGTCGGCCTTCCACGATTGGCCGAATGCTGACAATGACGTTAGCAAAGGATTTGTCATCGACGTAAATAATAGTAATGTAAGAGTTTCAAGTTCGACGGTGTTGGCAGCGTTGGTTTCAGAGCGGAATGATTTCAAGCTTCCACCATACTCATTACAAACACCATCGAACTTGTTGTTCGAAGGGTAATGACGTCAAGAGAGAGGACCCTAGGAGTGCGCCACCAAAACATCTCGCCGCCAATAACGCCGGTTCCCACACGCAGTGGAGCGCTGATATAGCAGTTTCACGGTGCGATAAATATCTGGTGAACGCTCCCGTCAGCACGCGCTTCGCGCAAAGTCAGCGCTGTGCTAGTAAATCCCCTCAATAACTGAAAAGTGGCACCATTCATAGTTTTGGAAATGCTCGGCACACGTGCCGCGCGCCACTTCTGGGAAGAACATGGCGTCTGACATCTAGATCTTTGCTACACTCTATCTGTGCTGCGCTGTGCCGCCATGATCTTCCCAAGGGCTGCACGTTGCATGCACGTGGCTCGTGCATCAACGCACCTTGCGCTTCCGGTCGCTCCGTCTTTGCATGCTTGTCGAGCTTGCTTATGTCACCAGTGCTAGAAAGCATAAATGCTGCACGGAAAACAAAGCTGTAGATTTAGCGAGGACCACCGGCTGTGCGATTTGACGTCTAGGAGGTGACAAGCTGGTTTACAAGAATATGCGAAACATTTGGACAGACCTCGCACTCCTTCGTTCTTTTGGCGTATTCACCTGGACAATTGGTGGTTAAACGTTTCATCTACATTTCAAGCAGCGGTGTTGAGGTGGCCCTTGCTCCTTCTTTTTAGAAACCGGAAGTTCTCTGGGACGTCAAAAACTGGAGCACCCCCTGGTGACGTCTGCCAGAAAAAGGCTCTAAGGTTTAAACGCATTTTGCGCTGCGCTGGAGATCGGTAGCCGAGTGGGCTAGCGCATAACCAGCTCGGAGCACGTGGAGCGAAATCTCACGCTGCAGAACCCAGGGATCTTGGGTACAATCCCCACCCCAGCCCGTTTCGATCTGGATGAGCATCGTACCGGCGTGCGGTCGTGTATCACTACTGCGTGGTAGGCACGTTAAAGACCCCAGGCTACCGGTTGCACTCCACTGGCTAAATTTCTCATCTACACCTAGGAGAAAGTCGCCCGTTGAGGCAGACTAAGTTCTAGGCTGTGTAAACATACACACAGACCAATTTATTTTACCGAGCATTTCATTTATTTATTTATTTATTTACAGCGCTCACTAACAGTCTCAGCCGCAGCAAATGCTAATGCGACATTAGCCGATACGAACACCGAGGAGTTTATAACGAAGCAAGAAGCGTAAACAATAATTGAGCCATATCTCGCGTTTATTAATCTACAAGTGATCACTTTAGAATAAAGTCAAGTTTACTCGAAAAAGGATTTACAGAAAATCACCACATAAAAAACTTATCCACGGAACTAAACAAATGGAGTTTCCTGCAAGGGTATGATCATATTTGACTTCTGCTGAGAATCAATCTCGAAAGCGCAAAGCTTTTTGTTTATTTTTATCTATATAATTTTAATTTGTTTGCGGTTCCAAACAAAATTTGGTTCTGAGAAAGTGCCCAGTTTGGACGCGTTTCTAGGTTTCGGTTCCTTATCGAAGCGTATTTTTGCGGCCGCGGTCGCGCTCCCTGGTGGTCGCGGCACGAAGCCACCCCCTCGGCTCCCTCGTAGGATGGGGGAAGCAGGGCGCACGTGTGTCGCGCTTCTCAGCCCCTGGAAAGCAGGACCGCGGGCTCAGAGATGCGCTACGATAAGAAACCGAAACCTAGAAACGCGTCCAAACGAAGCGTTTCTACAGAACGCCGTAAAATGCTTCCCCCGCGTTATATCCTTCTACAAATGATTTGATTTAGTGGTTTTCGATGACGCTGACCAAGTTTTTAATTGGAACCATATGTCTGTTTTCATTACCTAAAAAGTTAATTAACGAATTTTAATTAATTAGCCATCTGATCGTTATGATTAGCCCCCTGTAGTATGTCCCCCTGGCTGTATAACTCACCTGCACAAACCGCATTAGTGTAACTTCAACGTTTTTCCTGAAACATATTTGTTAATAAAAAAAAACTGTATATATATACATTCTGAACAAAGAGGACAGAAAGTGATTATTGAATTTATTGATTTAAAGCTTTTTTCGCCAGCTCTCTTTCCCTTTCCCTATCTTTAATGCAATAAATTCAATAATCTGTTTCTCCCCTCTTCGTTCACAATATTACTACGGTTGCACTTGTCAATCTTCACTCATTCCCATTAAATATATATATATATATATATATATATATATATATATGTATATATATATATATATATATATATATATATATATATATATATATATATATATATATATATATATATATATATATAATATGCTCTGCACATTTTTAAGGCGTGTCAATGTTGTATAAGCAATGCAACTGCGGCTTTGTGTTTTCTGTATATTGTTTTGCTTTTTTTGCCTTTTGCAACAAGCTTGGCGCTGCTCTTCACGGGCGCGCGTGCTCTGCCGCCGGCCTTTTGTGGATGAAAGCTACTGGCAGCATCACACATGTGCGCCACCAACTGTTTGAAAGAATCGGTCCGCGTTGCTTCAAAGTTCGCACGCGATTGCAACTCTAATACCCTTGTTATACCCTTGTTACACGGGCACACTTAACTGCAGTTACGCTAAACCACAATTAGCGCACAATACTTGCCGACAACATTCTGCGGCGATGCAGTCAGAGCTATGGGCGAACGTGCGCTTGAGCATCTTGAGCACCCATCAAAGCAGTGCACGTGCGCTCTTCACTTCTTATGGAATAGCTGTCCGAGGGTATAGTGCGGTATCAGTGGTGCCGCGTAACAGCAGTTAAGCTGAGTTAACCGCGGTTAACTGTGCCCGTGTAACAGGGGTATTACACGGGCACACTTAACTGCAGTTACGCAAAACCACAATTAGCGCACAATACTTGCCGACAACATTCTGCGGCGATGCAGTCAGAGCTATGGGCGAACGTGCGCTTGAGCATCTTGAGCACCCATCGAAGCAGTGCACGCGCTCTCTTCACTTCTTTTGAAATAGCTGTCCGAGAGTATAGTGCAGCATCTGTGCTGCCACGTAACCGCAGTTAAAGCTGAGTTAACCGCGGTTAAGTGTGCCCGTGTAACAGGGGTATAAGTCGTTGAATACAGTAACTTAAAACATTCAGATGGTAAAAAGAGAGGAAAATTCCAGTTACTTAGACCGTTTCAATCCATCGACGTCC